CACGCTGGGGTGTAAAGTCATTATATATATATATATATATATATATATATATATATATATATATATATATGTATATATATATATATATATATATGTATATATATATATATTATATATATATATATATATATATATATATATATATATATATATATATATATATATATCATCAGGTCACTATCGACATCAAGACGATTTCGCTGTTTAGTTTTAATTAAAACTAGAGCAGAAAATCCTGTCTCACATAAGTAAGTTGAAGAAAAAGGAACTAGTATTCGTAAAGCAAGAGAGGCAACCTTCGAATTAACAGGCAATCTTTTAATCCAAAATTTCTCCAGTGTCAAGAGATGGAAGTCATCTTTCATGGACGAGTCAGCCATCATATCTAGAAATTCTTCCTGAATTTCTTCTGGTAATTGGAACACATCAACAAGGATTTCTTGTCATACGCCATATGGGTGACTCTGAATTGATGTCTCGATAGTATCGGCGAAATTCGTCTTTCAGCGCTTGCAAATGAGTTTTTATGTCAGCTTTCAAATTTGCGTCAAGTATATTATTTTTAATTGCTTCGAACAGCCGAGAAAAAGACATAACATTTTTAGAAGAGATTTTTTGATTCCAAAGTTGAAGCTTTGATATGAACCCCTGAATATAATCATAATTGCTTATTATAGTGCCGTTACTGCCCTGAAGTTTTAAGTTTAGTTCATTCAAGGCATCGAATATGTCAGCCAAATAAGCCAACCTCCATTGAAATGTGTCATCTTTGAACATTGTGAAGAAATCGTGTTTTTCTTTGAACTCGAGAAAAAGAATTACTTCTTCTTTCAATTCATAAAGGCGAGCCAACATGTTGCCTTTGGATAGCCAGCGTACTTCTGTATGGAACAGAAGAACTTTGTGATCAGAATCGAGATCCTCGCAAAGTAAAGTAAATAAACGACTGTTCAAAGCGCTGCTCTTAATGTAGTTTACAATCCTTATAGCCGAGTCCAAAGTCTGGCGTAATTTCTGTGGTAATGTTTTGGAACCCAAAGCTTGCCGATGAATAACACAATATGTACTAACCATTGCGGGATTTTTTTCTTTGAGCTTTTTAGCTAAGCCCGAACGTACACCTATCATTGCAGGTGCGCCATCTGTGCAAAGTCCAATGAGTTTATTCCAATCCAAGTCATGTTTTTCAATAAAATTTGATATTGAATTAAATATATTCTCAGAAATAGTACCTGCTGTCAAAGATTGGGAGTACAAAATCTCTTCTTCAATGATATCTCCGCCGATGTAACGAACATACACTATTAACTGTGCACAATTAACGATGTCGGTGGATTCATCGCAACTAATTGCAAAAAATGGCGATAATTTTACTTTGTTGATTATTTGTGACTTTATGTCTGCTGCAATGTCATCGATTCTACGCTTGACTGTATTATCCGAAAGAGAAATAGATTTCATTTTTTGCTCTGCATCTTCTCCTAAAATTATCTGCGTGGCTTTTAGGACACACGGTTTTATTAATTCTTCACCAATAGTATGAGGTTTCTTGCTTTGCTATCATAAAAGCTATTTCAAATGAAGCTTTGAGATGCTGCGATACACCTTTGTGATAACTTCCCGATTTATCCAATCTCATCCGCTTGAGTGATTCTGCTTTAGAAGAAAAAACTCTTGCGTCTTCAAAACCAGAGTAGGATGTTGTACCTTCAAATGTCTTTCAAGGCGATTGGCCCTCATGCTATCATTACTTAAAACTTTCATACATATCACACATTGAGGTAACTGTAAGGCCGTCCGCACATGAAGCTACTAAAAAGAAACTAGTTGGTAACTTTAGTTACCAACCAGTCGCTTATTAGTTACTGCCCATGTATTTTTATCAGTATCCGCACACAACGCTACTAGTTAGGAACCGGTCACTAATGCATCAGTGATCAGGCGACAGCAGACTGGACGTGCAGGTCGCTTGGCGACTAGTTTCTAGTGAGATTCTAGTTTGTTGTTATATTTTTAACACGCGAAATGGCGAAATTGGTAGAACAGTCGTTTAATATAAAATTAGTGCAAGAAGTGGAAAAATATCTCTGCCTATACAACTATACGTTAAATGAATATTCGCGTAAAGACATTACCGAAAAGGCTTAGAATGATATAGTAAGAGAATTAAATTTAACAGGAGTGTCTTTTGAATAGCAGGTACAAGCAATTGTACTATGTGTAAATAAGATTCTTTTGACATTCTGTAAAATGCAAGAAATTTAGCATCACTTTCTTGTATTTCTTTTGCAGCAACAAAGGCTCTGCAATTTATATTGTTTGCAATGTAGAGATGAACCCAATACCTCCTTTTTTCTGCATTTTACGTCTTCGATAATAATAATAAAGAATAATATCTTCATCACTTGAGTCACTAGACATTTTTAACGCGATAATAACACTCAGTAATATAATATAAATTTTAAAATTTTTACACCCTATAACAAAGCTACTCGTACAGGCAAGAAGGGACTAGTTTCTATTAATTTTCGGTAGCGTAGTGTGCGAGTCACAGTCACTAAACAGTTGGTAATTCTAGTTACCAACTAGTTTTAGTTTCTTTTTAGTAGCTTCATGTGCGGACGGCCTAACTCGTCTTTTTCTATGAAGGTAAATCCAAACTTAATATAATCTTCGGAAAACTTTCTTTTTTTCGCTGCCATTTTGCAACCTAAACAGTAATAAATAAACAAGCAAAATACCTACATGTAATTACTATTTATAAATGCCCATTTATCTTAATAACGTAATGTATTTAACGTTTCAAAATTAATTCGTCACGTAGGTTTGATTGTAATGTGTTAAAAAAGATCCAATGATCGATCTACGAACGCATCAATCAATAATTTAGTAAATTAAATAAAAATGACAACTGTAGTTTGTAAATGCACAAACTTACCTTTTAACAGTGAAACACAATAATTATACACACTCAAACTAATTTCTCAGCAACAAATTGATACCGAAACGTCAAATTTTTCGTAAATTTGTGTGAATGAATGTCACAGATGCTCATGCACGTCCGGTAGGTACTCAACTATTGTCTATCTACCTATGATCTAATCCTAATTCCTAATGAACGTTATGCGGAATCGGTGCGGAGGGGTTGCGCGCGGATTTCATGTAGTGGCTTGTCGAAACTTATATAAACTGCGATTGACGACGTTGGTGTCGGGTTTTGAAACATATGTTTGTTGACATATTTAATTTCATTAATTTTATCCGTGTAAATTAAACATTACATTGTAATATTATTTGTAAATGTTGTTTGATTATTTTTTTTTTTCTTTCTAAAATCGCAAACGTCTTGACATCTCTCTATGCCCCCCTTGGGGGGCATGCCCCCCTGGTTCATCTAATCGAAACTATTTTCAAATCAACACTCAATAAATTTTATAACAATACAACTAACAAGAAACTCAACAGTATCAAAACCACTTATACAACTCTTCCATGTATAAAAGGTTTATCCGAATAACTAATAATAATATAAGAGTAGCCCACAAAGGCAACAACTTGTTAAATAAATATTTCACGAAACTAAAAACACAAACTCCAAAACTTAAAAAATCGCATGTTGTTTATGAGATACCATGTACTAACTGTGAAGGTGTCTATATCGGTCAAACCAGTCAATTGCTTCAAACCACAATTCGTTCTCACAAATATGACAAGAATAACGTCACTGCGCTCACAAAACATGAAAGCGGGAAGAAGCATAATTTTGATTTTGAAAAAATCAAAATTTTAAAACAGAACAAAACTATGATACTAAAGATACACAAAACCTAAATAAAATATATTTCAATCTGATTTAAACAATAATAATATAACATCATAAAAAGCTCTTAAAGTCATAACATATCTCCACCATCTCCACCTTACCCTTTTCGAAAACATCAACGATATACGCCATATAAAAATAATTATATACTAATGACAGTAAACAATGAGATATCAGATATCAACTTTTATTTGTCAGTTCGTTAATGTCTGTGTCACGTTTTACGTTTTTGTAAGTCATATATATATATATATATATATATATATATATATATATATATATATATATATATATATATATATATATATAATATATATATATATATATATATATATTACAATATCTGTTTGTCCTTATACATATACATTTTAGAATCTTGACAAAGGCAAGGGTTTTCCTGCCGAAAAGTTTATTGCTATAGAAAATAAAATCTAGTTCCACATGTAATATATCTTTATTGAACCTAAACCAAGAAAAATTAATTATATATATATATATATATATATATATATATATATATATATATATATATATATATATATATGTATATATATATATATATATATATATAATAAAGTTTTATTTTGAGGATGCAGTCATTTAAGTAGGGCAGGATAAGTTAAACTATTGTAAAATATTGTACTTACATAAAAATATAATTTAGATAAGTTAAGAATGTTTTGTGAATTTAATAATTTAATGGTTTAACCTCATGTTGTAAGTTTTTATATTAGTTTTATACAATGTTTTTTAATTCTAATTTCATTGTATGTACCATAACATATTTTAGCATATCCTGATGAAGCAAATAAATTTTGCGAAAGCTTGATTTAAGAACAAAGAGTTTAACTTATCCTGTCCTACTTAAATGACTGCATCCTCAAAATAAAACTTTATTTTACATAACGTGTAGTCAATAAGGTATTATTGACTGACACGTTATGTAAAATGAAGTTTTATTTTGAGGATGCAGTCATTTAAGAATAATAGAATAAGCAAATAAATTTTGCAAAAGCTTGATTTAAGAACAAAGAGTTTAACTTATCCTACCCTACTTAAATGACTGCATCCTCAAAATAAAACTTCATTTTATATAAAACTTTATTTTATATATATATATATATATATATATATATATATATATATATATATATTAATTTGTTATCTTATGTTGTAGATTATTCCATTAGGATATGCACAAGTAGAATTCAAAAATGGAAACAAATATTCTTGGAGAAAAGTAACTACAACTATACATAATATTATTGTAGGAAAATTGTGGGTAGATCAACACGGTAAGCATAACTGGAACTGCTATAAAGTTCTATGTTTATTACTAATTTCAAATATAAATTGTTTTGAATTTACTTTAAAAATGGTATTTTTTACTTTAAAATTGTTTTGTTTTCTATTTATAATATATCTAAGGTCTAAGAGAGATCGCGAATTTTTTTGCACCACGTATCATAATAAATTTTCTGATGTAGGCATCAAACTGTTACTTAGATTCTTAGTTAAAAAAATTATTTAAATGATTTTTCGGAATTCGGTTCAAAATATATACTGCAACCCTCCATTCCAGAATGTTTTTGGCATGTTACCTTCTATCATTACTCTTGCTTTGTTAATTAAACTCCTACTGAATCTTTCTGTTTTTCAACCTCATAATATAAGCAAAACAAAAACTTAAAAAATCATCAATAAAAGTACAAAATATTTTCCTCCATCATGACTTGTGGAGAAATTGGCCCTGCCACATATTTTAGCATCAGACCTTATATTAAATTTTATTCTTGTCATTTTACCCTTACATGTTTCACAAAATTCAACTTTGCTTAATTTAACATTTTTTTCAGGCCCTGAATCATTTTATTGTTCATAAAATGATCTTACTTTTTCCTGACAAATGTGTTCTATCTTTTATTCCATAGTAATTGTGTATTATGATAAAAAATTAACATTACAACATTTATTGCAACATTCGGGCGGGCGCGCATTTAAAAATCACAAGAGTGGGCGCACGGGGGCACTTTATGCCGCAAGCAGAAAAACGTATAGATTAAATTCAAAAGATACATATTTATCCTTAACCTTCTAAATAATCAAACTTGAAATAGTTAAATCAAATTATTTATTTCAAAAATGTACAAAAATAAAATGTTATTTTACAACATAATGACATAATAAATCGTATTCCTAAAAAAGAGTATTGTTTTCCTAATATTATATATATATATATATATATATATATATATATATATATATATATATATATATATATATATATATCCTCCACTTGAATAAGTACACAATTGGCAGGTGGTGGTCTTAATGTTATACCTCTTGCAAAAAGGCTACATATATTTTCGTCATCTCAATGTAGAAGAAATTATCAAACTCATGAATGTCTATAGAATCCGGATTTTGTAAATCTTCGTCTTCGGATAGTTTGAAGTCGATATTGTATAATTTTTGCAACCTTAATTTCCGTTAATCGCTTCCGTCCACTATATCTTCAACATCTGACAAATTATCAGCAACTCTTGTAACTCTGTGGTTGTCAAATATTTTTTAGAATTTTTTTACATTAATAAATCGCAACTTCCTCTGCGATCTCAGATTACCTTTTATTACAAAAGCATGTCTACTGAATAAAAAGTAATAAAAATCGATAAAAATCAAAACTAATTTTTCGGTAAAAATTAGTTTTGATAGCTAAGGCTAATATAGTCATTTGATAATAGCCGGACGGACAAGCAGATGTACCTAATAATACTTTACGAAATCTTGAAATTAGTAAAAAAGCCTCAGACAGGACCGATAGCGCCCCAGTCGGAGGGTTAAATGAGATTTTGTATAACCTATTTTCGGTGACCTAAGGGCGAGCGCCCACCAAAGTGGTGTGGCAGTGGCAAGTAGCAAGTAGCACGCGTCTAGCATAATGTAACCAATCCTAACGAATGATTAGAATGAATGACGTTACTGTCATTTTGGTGTAAACTGAATCATTCGTTTTCATTGGTTACATTATGCTAGACGCGTGCTACTTGCTACTTGCCACTGCCACGCCACTTTGGTGGGCGCTCGCCCTAAGCCTACTACATCGTTTGCTTTATACAAAGATGCTTGCCCCCGATAAAAATTACGGTAATATTTAACATTTCTAGACGTTAATAGCACTGATAATAGATTACGCCTTAATTTTGGTACAAAAAAAGACATTGTTAATGATCATAATTTCCTACTTGAATTAAAACTTTAATGTTTCTTACACCTATTTGTATATTAGCATTATTCTTAACTACTGCTATATCAATTGGGTTATCAAGTTGTACATAATCATGAAAATAGGGCATAACGTAACGTTTTCGATCTAGCTCAGATCATCTTCAGTGCCTTCTTTTTGTACTTGAAACTTACACTAAAATTGCAACGGAGACATATATATATATATATATATATATATATTTATTTATATATATATATATATATATATATATATATATTTATATACAGGGTGAGTAATGAGGAACTTTACATACTTCTACCATATGTAGAGTCCCTCAGGGAGCATATCATGTGGCCACTAAAAAATGTCAACTCCTCTTCTTTATTAATTAACAAGGTGATTTGTGTAATTGACCATTTATTTCATTTTACTGTAGTGTTTATACGGCTCATTTGATTTTTTTAATTTTTGCATGATACAGTACACTACTATCAAGCATTCGACTGCTATTAGCTAAACTAAAAAATTCCAGGACTGGCTTTGGAAAAATTAATTTAGGGATTCGTATTAAATATTACACCCTTATATATATTTTTTTTTTAAAATGCAATAAGTGATTTTCAAACTACATAAATAGCCAATGAAAACGACATATGCGACAATGTTGTCGCACTTTTATTAAATTTTTAGTGAACGATCAAATCTTACCAAAAATAGAACAACCATAATAAAGTATCAAATTATAAGGTAATTAATTTAAACAAATGTTATAAATTTCAAACATTTTAATTGAAATGATAAACTGAATCACTGCACAACAAAAAACAGTAACTACTAACAATAACGAAGAACAAATTAAAAAAAAAAACTAAAAATATGTACATAGTTATGATAAACCCATAAATTAGAACTGGAAAAGATACAATAATGGTAAGAAAATAAAAATAATTCAAAATAGATTTTCGAAATGGAACCCTGCAGTTGAACCCTAGTTCAACTTTGTAAGATATTTTGTATTTTTTAGAAGCTCTTGATAAAAATTGTAATCACAATTGAAAGCTCGAGTAAAAAATAGTCAACAAATAGCCCCTTTTATTGACTTCAACCCATCAAAAACAGTGTTATATTTTTTCCAAACGAGTCACAAGTACTTCTTTTTTCTTACTCTTATATATATATATATATATATATATATATATATATATATATATATTTATATATATATATATAATAAGGATCACTCAGACGAGTGGTGGGTTCAAATATCGGTCTACTAGGTGGAGAAATAAAAGGCAAAGTTGATACTACTTCATCTATTTTGAAGACGTTTCGCTATCGAATTCTGATAGCATCATCAGTTCATCTAAAAATTTTTACATTATGAGTAACACACATTCATGAAGAAGATGTTAAATGTTACCTTTAAAAAGATACGTAGTTGTCAATGGTATTAAAAAGATAGTACAAAAACTCAAATAAATGGACATCATATGGTGATATTGTATAAACAATTAAATAACTAACAACATTTAGAGACTTAGTAAAAATTAGCAAAGCAACAGAACACGTGGTCTAATAAGCATATAATATTTTATATAATATTAACTAGTGAAAAAGAACTAAGAAAATCATTGATTCACTTCCAACTATGCAAAAATTTTATTTTATGACTTCATCTTAACTTTTGGTAGCATTATTTAAGTTATCTACGTTAAGATATAAAAAATATATATAAAAAAGAAAAGATATAAAGTGAAGTTACCACTGTATGCTTGGCACCTGTTGCGGTTGAAATGGCGTTAATTAATAGATACCGAGCCAATGATATGAACAGACAGCCAACCTTGAGGTCGAAGATTCTTCGACAGAACAGCAAGGTTAAGAGTACCAACCCACTAATTTACGGGCGGTATATTTGAAAAACTTAACATGAGTTTGAATGATAACCTCCCGTAAGAGACCAAACAATGAAAGAAATTAGCGATGACGCTAATCCCCTGCATCAACTAGTCTAGAACAAACAAGTAGGCAAAATTCATTCAACTTCATATATAAAAGAGTGATAAACCGTCAACAGTGTAGTTGGTTATACAGCTACAGGTGAATGACGATAAGCACCTAATTTCCAAAAAGTCCAAGGTCCCACGCTTGGAACTTTAATTTATAAAGTTTTTAACGGTTAAACGGTTTATCACTCTTTTATATATGAAGTTGAATGAATTTTGCCTACTTGTTTGTTCTAGACTAGTTGATGCAGGGGATTAGCGTCATCGCTAATTTCTTTCATTGTTTGGTCTCTTACGGGAGGTTATCATTCAAACTCATGTTAACTTTTTCAAATATACCGCCCGTAAATTAGTGGGTTGGTACTCTTAACCTTGCTGTTCTGTCGAAGAATCTTCGACCTCAAGGTTGGCTGTCTGTTCATGTCATTGGCTCGGTATCTATTAATTAACGCCATTTCAACCGCAACAGGTGCCAAGCATACAGTGGTAACTTCACTTTATATCTTTTCTTTTTTATATATATTTATTATATCTTAACGTAGATAACTTAAATAATGCTACCAAAAGTTAAGATGAAGTCATAAAATAAAATTTTTGCATAGTTGGAAGTGAATCAATGATTTTCTTAGTTCTTTTTCACTAGTTAATATTATATAAAATATTATATGCTTATTAGGCCACGTGTTCTGTTGCTTTGCTAATTTTTACTAAGTCTCTAAATGTTGTTAGTTATTTAATTGTTTATACAATATCACCATATGATGTCCATTTATTTGAGTTTTTGTACTATCTTTTAATTACCATTGACAACTACATATCTTTTTAAAGGTAACATTTAACATCTTCATGAATGTGTGGTACTCATAATGTAAAAATTTTTAGATGAACTGATGATGCTATCAGAATTCGATAGCGAAACGTCTTCAAAATAGATGAAGTAGTATCAACTTTGTCTTTTATTTTTCCACCTAGTAGACCGATATTTGAACCCACCACTCGTCTGAGTGATCCTCATTATATATTGGATAGACGGTCGTACTCCTTTTTGCGATATATATAT